AGCAGCAATTATAAAAGGCTTATGAGTGTCTCGCATATGAAACACTACTTTCATTATCATTAGATTCTTACGGTCTCGCCTCCCTTGGCCCTATTTTAAAAACTTAACCAAATTCCCTCAAAGCCACTCTTTATATTTTAATAAATACTTCCTGAATTAGAACTGAAGCAGGATAGAAATCACTGGCCAAAAACTGGTTTAGCCCTGTCCTTCCTTTTTCATGACCAAAAAACTCTTTTAAGAGAAACCCACCCTGGTAGTCCTTTGTGAAGAAAAGTAAAAAGTTTTCATTGAAACTGGGGCATTTCACTTTATTTCTTGACAGTGGGATGTATCCTAAGTTAAGTATATGATGGCTTACAAAGGTGATATAAAATGTTTAAAAAAAAAGAAAAAAAGCCAGTGAGAGACCTTGCTGATTTGTAGCACAGAAATATATACTTAATATTTTTTCTCAAATAAATTAGTATTGTTATAGGGATTATTCTTTATCAAATCTATTGGATCTCTAAATGATGAGGCCAGTTTTCAAGAAACAAAAGTTCATTATTTATTTTCCAATAACAAAAAATATTTTTTTAATCCCTTCCCCATTTTTGGAACCCATTTCATTAATTACTTATGTTTCTTCTGAAGATATGCTTTGAAATTTATCTGCACTTTTCAAATAGGGAAGTCAGAATTCTCAGTAAAATATGGCATCCGAAAGTCATATAATGTGCTCTCTCAAATCAAGGGCAATAAATTGTCTCTTGTTTTAGTTCAACTGCTAAGAGAGTCTGAATCTCATCCCATGCCCCCATGTAACATCTCTGAATAATTTACATCCATGCATGTGGAATTACTCAGTAGAAACTACTACTCTGGTTTCTGAGATTACTGTACATACACGAAATGTCGTTGTCCCGGGTGCAACCGCCTCTCTTAAAACAAGGCACATCCACCAAGAACCTGTGAATTTGACCTGATACGGAAAAAAGAGTCTCTGCAGATGCTCTCAAGCTGAGCGGAGGTCACAAGGCATCAGCACAGGCCCACACTGAACGATCGGTGTCCCCACGGGGGATATCTGAACAGACACGCAGGGAGAAGGCCACACGGAGAGGGAGGCAGAGACTGGGGTCCTGCTGCAGTCACATCCAAGCAACAGCAAGGACCGTGGGCAACCCCCAGAAGTGAGGACAGACTCCAGGGACCGTTCTCCCTCAGAGCCTTCCGGGGCGCACACTGCTGACACCCGGATATTCACTGACCGCCTCCACAACCGTGACAAAGTGCATATCCGTTGTTTTCAGCTACACAGTTTGTGGCACATTATTACAACGGCCTTAGGCAACTAATACAGTGGTCCTTCTCAGGATTTCAAAATTAACTGTACAAACATTCACTGCATACCAAGTCTGGTTCAGAAAATTTCCCAGTTTCCACTGAAATAACAGATAACATTTATATAAGTATTTCACAAGCTTTAAAAACACAGAATTTTCAATTCAGCCAATTTTTATTTATTAAGTGCCCACTCCATACAGCCGTAGGCCCTGTGAAAAACAAAATATTCAGTATCTACTCTTTAAAGCAGCGACTGCATAGCACAGGGAACTCTGCTCAATATTCTGTCAACCTTAAGTGGGAAAAGAATTTTAAAAAGAATAGATACATGTGTATGTGTAGCCGAGTCATTTTGCTGTAACACCTGAAACTAATATAACATGGTTAATCAACTACACTCCAAAACAGAATAACTTTTAAAAAGCAACGGTTAATTATAAACAAAATATTGAGGATGAGGACAATTCTCAGGTACTCCATGAAAATAACAGTCTGGTTTCTAATAGAAAACATTAAAGTGAGAGAAGGAGGTAACTGTTATTTTTGAGAAAAATATAAACAGTTATGAAACCTTGGAGGAGGATCAAGAGCACTCTAAGAGTAGCTACTCAATAAACAGCTAATGAGTTAGTTAATTATTAAAAATATACGTGTGCTGTGTTGCTTCAGCCATGTCCGACTCTTTACGACCCCAAGGACTGCAGCCCTCCAGGCTCCTCTATTCAAGGGGTTTTCCAGGCAAGAATACCGGAGTGGGTGGCCACACCCTCCTCCAGGGGATCTTACCGACCCAAGGATAGAACCCATGCCTTTCACATCTCCTACATTGACAGGTGGGTTCTTTACCACTAGTACCACCTGGGAATCCCCTAAAAATATATAAGGATTATTAATGTTTATATATTCTGAGTCTTAGTATTCATAATTCTAAATAATAAGTCTGCACATCCAATGACTCTGACTATTCATATATTATTAACTCTTCAAAGTATTTCAAATCAATGACTAAAATGAATTTGTCCATTTAAGAATTCATTCCATATTTGGGAAATATTTACTGAGTATGACTATAGCCAAGGAGTTACGTTTCAATGAATGAAAGATGTGGGAACTCCCCCTACAGTCCAAGCTACAAGATTTTGGAAAAAAAGGAAGTCCCGGATGAAGCTGGCATATTAAAAACCCACATTAATTTCACCTCTTCCTAGACGTTAACCAAAATTACAGTAAAGCTTCTTAAAGACACAAAGCCACTCAACCAGCAACTAAAGAACAGAAGCTAAAGACCTCCCCAGCAGGCCAGTAAGACCGAATCAAGAAAAATGTGAACGCTGAGGGCGGGGCTGGGCCATGTAGCAGGACCTCCTTTGTACGGGAGCCTCTTCTTTGTATGATGATTTAAGACTCCATTGGTTAAGACGCCACTGCAGGGGAAGTGGGTTCAATCCCTGATCAGGGAACTAAGATCCCACAAGCTGCTCGGTGCCACCAAAAGATAAAAAACAAAAACAAGAAAAGCTAAAATGCACATGAACAAGAAGTAACTAAACTTATTCAACAAAGCCAAATCTCAAGCCTCCTGCAGAAGAGCTGAGACCCAGTCCTATGAACCGGGCAGAACCTTCAGAAGGCTTTTAGAAACCAGTAACAGCAGGTATGTCTGAAACTGCGGGTAAATGGAAGGTGATAAATCAAGAAGCGTGGGGGGCTGTCTGAGAGGCAGTCAGACCCCAGGCATCCTTCCCTCCCCACCTCTACAGACCAGGGGTCCCCAAGTCTCCTGTGAAGGGGATGAAGCAGATGGTACCTAGTCTGTGGGTGCAGGAACATACAAACTCAAGGTAGAAACCCCGAGTCCTCCTCCTGCCACTTAGCTTCTAGAACGCAGAACCCCTGAGCCCCGGTGGGAAGCTGAAATTCTCCTCCTTGGAAATCAGCTAAAGAGAAAAAAAAACATCATACAAAGAAGAGGCTCCCGTACAAAGGAGGTCCTGCTACATGGCCCAGCCCCACCCTCAGCGTTCACATCACCCTCTTAACTCCAGAGCACGGTCAAGGATTCTCAGACACCCAAGGACAGCCTCGAGCAAGAATGACAGAAACCAAAAGCAACGTGGAGAAAACAAACTATTCCGGGAGAAAAAAAAACTTGACAAAATCAATACTTCCAACAAGAAACACCCGCGCTTCTAGGCTGAAAGAACAGAAGGCCATAAACATAGAGCATTCACAGGAAAAAATGCCAAATGCATGCTCGTGAGAACACAACAGCACACGTGACTGCCGGGCAGACAGAGCAGGAGACAAAAAATTGAAATGAAGGAAAAAAAGTTACAATACCAGGCCAAGACCACATAGTCACAGGAGAAGAAAATAAGAGAGATGGAAGTCAGGACTTGAGAAGAAACATCTCCAAAATGAACAGGCGTGAGCTGCGGTCACCCAACGTACCCTGCACTCTGGATGAACAGAGATACCTGCAAGGGTCCATCGTCGTGACATTTCAGGACAATGGAGAAAAAAAGAACATAAGGTGCCAGAGGAGGAAAGGAACAATAATAACTCCGGATTCTCGACAAAAGAGACAGCTGACCTAGAATTCTAGACCCAAACTGTCAGAGATGTATGGAGACAGACAGAATCACAACTCTTTCAGTCCCTCAGGATGAGAGCAGAGCAGGCTGCCAGTGCTAGAGGCTGTGCTGTGTTTTATCATCTTCGTAACCTGAGGACGAAACGCCATGGTAAGCCAATCCCAGATGGCTAATGATACGCAAGAAGGTCCCAGGGCCCCCTTGAGGCCCCGCTGCCCAGAGCAGATGGGAAGGTTCGCGTGATTGCACAGACATGCTGTGCTGGGTATATTCTGAGAGCCGGAGCTGGACAAGCAGAGGCTGTAAACCGATGGACTGCAGCCTGCATCACCAAGGGGCGCCCAGCACCTGGACCTCAGGATACAGTCTGGCTGATGACCCAACTAACTCCGCAAGCTTAGCTCAGGCTGTGCCTACCTAACCTCCCTGAAAACTCAGGGGCAGGTGAGGCCCGTTTAGTACCCAAGCCGTGTCCACTCCAGAGAGCAAGAAAATGCTGTCTCCTCCAACAATCAGGGCTGGTCTTGCTCCTCATGTGCATGGTCAAGAGGAAGTCGTGTAACATTAAGGAAGACACACGTAGGCACTAAGACAACACAGGGAGCCAAGGACATGGTTAACACCAAAGTCAGGGATCTGGTTACCCAGAGCCAGGAGTTGTCTGAGCCATCATGGGAAACATCATTTTTTTATCAAACACATAACAAAATTAGATTGCTCTGTTTTCTTTGGTTTCTTTGGTAAGGAGTGAGAGGGTGAAAATGTGATTTCTGTAATCTTACATGATGGGGAAAAAACTGTAAATCTTGAAAAAAATTTTTAGTAAGATTCGGATTATCTTATAATATCCTTATTAATTATTTAATAAAAAGGTTTTAAGCATTATCTTGGAACATGGGTGTTTGGAAAGATTACAAAACTGAGCGAAATGGAACAGATAGCGTTTTAAACATTTAAAATGAACACCAGTCAAGAAGGTAGCTTTTTAAATAGCGGGAAGTACTGGGAGGCAGGCAACTTCTTAACAGGGTTTATTCTCGAAAAGAGTAGATAAAATGCTAGGAATCAACATCTTACCTTAAACACTTCCATTGGAAGAGGAAACTTAGCAGCGTCAATAAGAGATTTCTCCAGAGCACGTTTCCACTCTGAGTCCGTCTTCAAAGGATAGATTTCTGTATCAACAGCAAATCACATAAGAGTTTAAGGGCTGAAACGTTCTACCGGGTGGTTCTTCACTCAATTTTATCTTCTCAGGGTTTCATAATAACTTGGCAGGCTCAGCGACCGCAAGCATTCACACCCTGCCCGCCGTAAGAGGCCACCTGCTAAAGAGATTTCCTTAAGTTAAATAGCAACCTGGGATTCTGCGATCCGAAATAAAGAATCAACTTAATAGGGCTCTTCTTCAGGGACTACCTGCATGCATTCTGTATGTAATTTGATGGTGTAAGTCACGTTCATCACACCTTCATCCATCCTCAGCCCCAATTCCACACATCACCAGGGAAGTCATATCCAATGATGAAGAACTTATTATCTGGTAAGTTTCTAAATGAGAAAACACTCTTGTCGGGCGTTTTCGGTTATTATAGCCCATTTCTCACTAAATCTCTAAGCTCTCATATGCTAAAAATAGTCCACATAAGTCAGGAAATTATGAAAAGGTAGATTAAAATTTACCAACCAAGTTTAATATTTGCACTTGAAATGTTGCTAACACATCACATGTTGCCCAGGTTTCTGCCCACGGTGAGGAGAAGGGATTTATGAAGGGAGGTTACACTGTCTGAATACAAAATTAGAAGAACAAAATTGTTGAGTGCTGTTTTTACCAGTTGCTGAAACTGCAGGGGAATTTTATGATCTGATCTCAACAGATTTAAGACCTTATCAAAATAGGATTTGCAGAAGCACTCACTTGCAGGAGATATGTTTATACCTTCGCTATATCAACTCAGGCTACTTCAGACAGATAGCTAGGATATGAATATCAATTTAAGCACAGTTAAAAGGCAACATTAAGCCTTTGGGGCTGTATTTTTAATTTCTTGCATGTCTGCTTTTTAGCAGGCAGCCATATATTTTGATGCTCATAGCGTTTGAACTCACCTTAAGCTTGAAGCGCCTGTGTTTTAGCAGTTTATTCGGTCTTTGCAGACAACCACAATTATGGTGGGCAAGCAGAGCTGCCAGAAGGGGGGGCCAGGTTATCCATGCCTGCCCACCGTCTCTCTTGTCAGCTATGTCAAGTCCCATAAAGGATAGTTAATGACAAGACAGACTCTACTTGTATAAATTGTCTATAATCCTTTCTAGCCTTCTATTTATGCTCTTACACCTCTGTGGAATTCCTTCCCCCGATTTGGCATTTCAGTATCAGAGCAAAAGTAGAATGAGGTTCTTTTTGATAGACACATTCAGGGGACCACAGTAAGCCAATCCCCCAATAAACACCCTAGGCAGAGAATGGTCCCTCCAGCCTCGACAGGTGAGAAGGCGGGGGGCCAGAGGGAGAAATCACATCACAAGGTCCCACGAAGAAGGAAGAGGGACCAATTCACGGAGCAGTATGCAGTATTATGCAGTATCCTGGGCGGGTGAGGGGGATTCCCTGGGATGCACTGGTGCTCCAGCTCAGGGTGCTATATCAGAACCTCGGGAAAGAGGAAGGCAGTTCAGGTTTCCGGAAGCACGGCCCAGAGGATGCCAAGCACAGCAGCTCAAGAGGCTCAGATGTGCCAAATGTGCTCAGTCGCTCAGTCGTGTCCAACCCTTTGTGACCCCACGGACTGCAGCCCACCAGGCTCCTCTGTCCATGGGGATTCTCCAGGCAAGAGTACTGGAGTGGGTCGCCATGCCCTCCTCCAGGGGATCTTCCCAACCCAGGGATTGAACCCACGTCTCCCACATTGTGGGCGAATTCTTTACTAGCTGAGGCACCAGGGAAGCCCCAAGAATCGGGCAGGAGGGAACAATAAACAAGATCCTGGACTTCCTAAGTAGAATAGGAACAAACCCATTTTTCTAGGGTTCTGGAAGCAGGTCGATGGGGAGCTCAACAGTGTAATAAAAGGAGAACCAAATCATACAAAAGGAGGGTGACTTCTAAAAACAAGGTTAAAGGAAGGTCTGCAGACATACAGGGAGAGAAAAAAGAAGAGAACGTACCAGTCCCTGAACTCCCACAGTCTGTAACTGAGGATTCTTGGGGCGGGAGGAGCCCCTGAGACAGAGAGGAGGGTAAAACAAGAGTGATTAAAAATTACCCAAGGCCGAGTAACTAGACTCCAACGAAAAAATTAAAAAAAAAAAAAAAAACTAAGATAAAAGGGCTGCTGAGTATCACCAAATAATATGATGAAATTGAACAAGTGGGATTATGGTCTGACAAATTATTATATAAGTTAATGTAATCTTTACCTCTAAAGAGAAAGGTAAGAGAAACCATAATTAAACAAAAAAATTAAAAAAAATAATTACTCAGGACCAGAGCAATGAAAACCCAACACGGTCAGATCCAAACTCAGATCTGAGCAAGGAGATGGGCAGCCCCGGAGAAACGCTCACAGCCCCTCCTGAGAGCTGGCAGAGCAGGATTGGACCAGTCATGTCATCCCAGGTGGCTGCATCTACCTGATGCCATAGCTGTTCCATCAAACCAGTGAGAAGGGTCATAAAGCCTAGAACTTTGATCTGAATGTACGTCCCCTAAAATTCACACTGAAATACTCAAGGCCTTAGGAAGTGGGGCCACTGGGAGGTGACGAGATCATGAGAGTGGACCTCCCAGGATGGGATCAGTGTCCTTTTATAAGAGAGACCCCAGAGAGATCCCTACCCCTTCCACAGGTGAGAACACAGTGAGAAGACACTGTCTACGAACCAGGAAGTAGGTCCTCATCAGACACTGAATTTGCTGGCGCCCAGATCTTGAACGTCCAACCTCCAGAGCTGGGAGAAATCAATGTCTCTTGTTTATAAGCCCCCCTTTCCCATCTGTTACAGCAGCTGGAATGAAGGACGATACCTAGGAGATCTCACTGGACTTTCATCTCTGTTCTGCAATCTCAAGATGCTTTGTCTTCATGCTGAGGATATTAAATTCTAAGACAGAATTTAATCCCACAGCAGGGCACACTCTGTCTTAAAAGGTGAAAAATCAGCTGCAGTTTTGTCAGCACCCTTGGCCACCTGCAGAAGCTAAACACCTCCTAGTTTCAACAAGCAGAGAACAATAGTCTCTGTGTGTGTGTGTTTCATTAGACTGAGAGGCGCTTGGTTACGCCAGCAAGTTTATGGACAATAAACAGCACCATTAAAAGAACATAAAACATGTTCTTAAAGTGATCGTGTTGTTGGTAATTAAATAGAGTGTATCATGTCCAGTTCTGTTGGTAAGAAGTTAAGAGGCAATTAAAACCCGTCCTGGCTCATCTTGAACCAGAAACCTAAGTGAAAACAAGGTGTCCGCCTCTGCAGACTGGCTATCCATCTCATGAAAAGTGCAGGAGGAAGAGAGGTGAACAAAATACTCATCTCACAGGTGGAGGTAAATGCAGGCCTGGAGGGGCAATCCTCTTTATTTATGCACCCCACATCCCCCCTCGTCCCTTCTCCACCAGGCTCTGACCAGTGAGGAAAGGCTCATCTATGGTTCTTCATAGACACTGGGAAGTACTGTGGATTGAATGCTTTGTGTCCTCCCAAAATTTTGTATGTTGAAGCCCTAACCCCTTGATGTCATGGAGCTTTGAGAAGTGATTAGGTTTATATGGGGTCATAAGGGTGGGGCCCTGTGATGGGATTAGTGCCCTGGCAAAAGGACACACCAAAGAGCTCTCTTTCAAGTGCATGCTCGCTCTCTCTTAACATACAGAGAGATGTATATATACATATACATATATACATATATATATATATCTCCATTAACACACAGAGAAGAGGCCAGGGGACTTGTCTGGCAGTCCAGTGGTTAAGGTGTCACACTTCCAATGCAAGAGATGTGGGTTTGATCCTTGGTGGGGAAAGAAGATCCCACATGTCATGCAGCATGGCCAGAAGATCAAAAGAGAAGAGGAGGCCAGGTGAGGACCCAGCAAGCAGCCATCTACACATCAGGAAGAGAATCCTCATCATCACTCAACACTGCTGATGCTCTAACTGTGAACTCCGATCCTCCAGAACTGTGGATTTGGGCTTTTTAAGGCTCAACCCCTCAGTCAACGGTATTTTGTTAAGGCAACTGAAGCTAAGATAAAAAATAACGGTTGTTTCTGGAATAAGAAACAGTTCATGTAGGAAGCATCTGAATTAGACTCAGAAACGTCTAGCTCCAGGCACCATCTAAAATAAAAAGAAGGCGGCGGGGAGGGGGAATAGTTGACATAAAGATTTTGAAGGGAAAAGATATACAAAACAATATAGAAATAAGGATTTAAGGATTTTTCTTAAACCTCAGAAATTTCATCTCTTTAGTTCCTGCAAAAACATGTCAGATTCTATCTGCTTTCTAAACCTCCAAAAACATAAAAGCAGGTGGTGGCAGGGAGGCAGGTGAGAGGGGGTTTCAAGATGGGGGGATACATGTATACCTGTGGCCTATGCATGTTGATATATGACATAAACCATCACAATACTGTAAAGTAGTTATATTCCAATTAAATTTAAAAATTAAAAGCAGGTGGGGCCTCTAAAGGACCCCTGGACCTCAACAGCCTACTTAAATTTCTTAAAAAATCAAATATAACCTTAACACTCTAATCACAGTTTGAATATTTAGAAAATACCAATCAACTGAGTAACACAGCAGCAAAGCAAACAGGGGGCCACTCCCATTTTACAGATGTGAAAACTGAGGTTCAAAGTCGAGGAACTCACCCAGAGGCCAGTGACAAAGTGGAAGGAGGGCCCCACTTGGACCCTGACTCCAAGCCCATATTCCTTCCACTCTGTCAGGCTTCTCAAACTCTAGTCACATGGGGACCTTTTTAAAGGAAGAAATTCCCATCTTGAATACCACAGACCTCATATCCTGGAGCTGTCCCAGGTGTTAAAGAGATCGCATCTCTACTTGCTCAGAAGCTCCACTAATGCTTCAGGGCAAAGAGAGTAGCACAGTCTAGGGGTACCTTCACCAGGCAGCTCTCCCCTCAAAACTGGCTTCCAAACTCCCATCAGTGATTTGGTTCCTGGAAGGTGGACTTGGCTAGTTCCTTCCTTCTGTCTAGACACATTTGAGTTTTTATTCAGTCTGGACACATATTTTATTCACTGGACACATATTTACTGAGCACCTACTATGGGCTGGACAGGGTGGCAGGGGGCACTGCAGAGAATGGGTCATGCACTTTTGAGTTCAGCATCCAAGTTCTGGATGAAGTGAACGCATGAGAAAGCAGTGTTCCAAAAGAGGAGACACACACGGAAAGCTTGGGGACCACAAACGAGGCCACGTGCCAGAAAATAAGCATATGAGGGGGGAGGTGTTGGGTATGCACGGCTGGAAAAAGAGCTCCAGGTCTGTCAGATCATGCTCTGCCTTCCATTCAGCACCAAAGGAAGGGCGCTTCTGGATTCCCCGTCCCACCCTGGTAACACCTGAATCACTAAGGACGCAGGAAGCCACTGCCCGCCCATGATTACTGGCATTTCACCATCTTCCATTCCCTCGTCTGGTCTTTGCTGAAGCTGGACTCTCCTAACCCCTCAGCACCTGCACCCCTGATGGCGGGTGGAGTGTGGTGGCTGCACCCTCTCTCAAATCTCCCATCCACTACCCCGTATCCTCTGATTCCATCCAGAAATGGGAAGCAGGCTTCTCGTTGGCAGACAGCATAACAGCGAGCACCTTCTCCTCCAGTGTTTGAAGACCTACTCACCAGGTACTATCCACCACCTATGTCTATACCTCTATCGGCACTGAACAGTTGAGAAATACTGTGTTCTTTAAGAACAGAAAGTACCAGGGAAAGAAAGGAGTCGTTGTCAGCACAGCAGAGAGGATAGGGTGGCCTGGCACAGCCTCACTCTCAAAGTCCAGGCAGCCCTCTAGGCCTTCAGTTCCTGAATATTCCACCCTTGGCAGAAGGGCCCCGAGGATGGTAGAAACTGTGGATAGAGAAGCCTGGGAATACGGAACCTGTGGATGGGAAGACGGTGGACGCAGAGCATCAAACCTGCAAATGCAGAAGGTCAACTGTACTGCACTATTTTATATCAGGGACTTGAGCATCACTGGATTCTGGCATTCATGGGGATCCGGGGAGCAATCCCCTGTGGATACCAAGGGATGACTCTATTCTCAAAGTGCCTCTTATCTGCCCTGCTTGCCCACCCTTCCATCTCAACTTCTTATCACTAGTCAATGATGAACACTTTCATTTACTTAAGTGTGTTTGGGAAAAAGAAAAATAGTGTTTTCTGTGCAAGTCTGAAAGTTTTCTCCCACCTAGACTTCAGTCAAGGAAAGAGCACTGCCATCTTAGTTTAACAAGTCACATCAGGTCCTGAAACTAATTTATAGAAACCCAAAGGACTGGATTCTGTTCCTATGTGTTGTTCTGCTAAATCAGGTAGAAGTCAGATTTCATCTTGTAACTACTGCATCTGAAGAACTCAAAATCATACTTGGGGTGATCTTTCACCTTTTAATTTCTTCTTTCCATCCACAGCCTTCCCTGTTGACAGTTTAAATGTTGAAAATGTAAGTTCTTGATGAGGAATGTCTTTCCCAAAGGCTTTAAGTCTTCAGTGAAATGAACAATTCATGGTCAGAAAATTACTATGACGAGTAAATATAGTCTATTCTTGTCTTATAAAGATATCAAATTATCTTAGAGAGAGAGGTCTCTTCCTTTATTCAAATATTTCCCTAGTTTCTAAAGGGACACTTTCCATCCTGGCCATTGAATATGAGCACAAGAGAGGGATGTTTGTACACAGAGTCTAAGCTATTAGTCATCCTTTGCTTTGCTATAAATTTACACTGGCAATTATATATTTCTCTTAAAATTTATACAGCAATTAGACACTGAACTAAGATTTATACACCCAACTTCCTGCACAAAGTAAATTTCTCCTGTTAGGTTATGAATCCCAAGGCAAACCTTGGGAGCTTAGGTCTCTTCTCACAAACAGACAGGCCTTTCATTTGTAATCATATCCCCAAACTACTCAGGGTGTAAGTGGATTTCTTGGCTGCTTCTCATAACATTGACAACAACAATACTAATAAAACACCACATTACAAGTTTATACACCTGTCAAATCCAACACAAATGCAAACATATGACATGGAGAACCAAGACATTTTTCAATTAAAGCCCTTGACTGATAGAAAAGGGAAACACGATTCCTCTGCTTCGCAACTCCTCAAGACAAACTCTGGCAACTAAGATGGGAGGGGGAAGGCTCTGGAAATTTTACTGAAGGAAAGAGCCAACTCTTGGCTTCCAATAAACCTGTGAAATTGACCAGAATGAAAATCAGCAAATTTGGGAAGATGTATTCCTCCCTTGGCATCTTTAATTCAATGAGAAATCCAACATTTTTCTTCTACAGCTATCTATCACAAGGTTGATAAGCCCAGTATAAGGCAGCAGGGAAAACTGTGTGGAAGAAGAAGGGGACCTGAGAATCTGAATTTCAGCACATTCTTCCGAAAAACTGTGCGATCTTTGACAGGTAGCTTAAACTCAGTCTCAAATTTTCTCTGCTGTTAAGAGGAAATAGTCACACAAAATATGTAGCACTTTTTTGGAGTCAAAATAAACAACCTAACAGATGTAAAATCATCTGGCAGGTAGAAAACATTCAAGAAAGGTTATTTTGTAAACACTGAGGTTTTTGCCCAGTTGGATATGTCAGGAAGCATGATGCAGTCTTCTACCCAATTAAATCTCTGGAAAGGCATTTGTCAAGGTACTTGAAGCTATTTAAAAATCTATGATGCACCAGGGGAAAAAAGCATGATGGTTTTCTTTTTGCTAATTCCAGGTCAGGACAGATACTGTAACAATAAGCATTTTATTTGAATCGGCATTTTACTTGAATCTATGGATGGATGAATGGATGGGTAGATGAATCTATGGACAGAAGGTTGGATGAGGGGATGGATGGATGGATGGATGGATGGATGGATGGATGGATGAATGGATGGATGGATGGATGAGCGGTTGAGTGGGTAGATGGATGGATGAATGAATGGATAGATGGATGGATGGCCGTGAGTAGAAGAGCAAATATTTCAGAACCTACTTGCAAGACTATCAAATTCCTAAAGAAAAACAGAGAATATTGCCAAGTCTTTTCATTTTCAATATTGCACTGCATCTTTCATTTCCAAACCAGTGATTCCAAAGGAACCAGATCAGCTTTTTCCACCGCCTCCCGCTCTGCTTTCTCGTTTCAGAACACTACTCATTGAAGTCTTGGGTTCCATTCACAACAGAGAGTGTTTGAAGTTAAAACACTTCCTGTGCACAAGTACAAATGGGAAAGACACCACAGAGCTAACACATTTTCCAGAGAGACACCCAGGAAAACAATCACATCTCTTCCGACAACACTTGAGAGCGGCCGAAGCTCCCGCCCTTACCTGAAGGTGGGTCCATTCTGTATTTATTCTCTTGACACCAACCAACTGGTCGAAGTCTGTAATCCAAGTAAAACAACCACTGGTCATAGGATTCAGTGTCCTCCAATCCCACATAGCGAAGGCGTAATCTTCCTCCAGCATTCTCAAGCACACTAACTATCCAGTACTGAAAAGGGTTCTCAGAGTCCTGCAGCTCTATTAAGGAATCAACTGTAATGAGGTCTATAGGGCCTTTCCCTCGCAGAGGCTGTTTAAACAGAAGCAAAACTCCTTATTTTAAACTTTATTTTCAGGTTCTCATGGAAACAGATGACAGCAGAAGATAAATTTTTTTTTTTCCATACCATCATCCAAGCTATTGGCAAACAGTCTGGTGTTTCCCTCCACCCCCCACCCTCCCTTCCCACCACCGGCCCCTCCCGCCGCACATCCACCTTTCCCAACTCGGTATCCAACAACAAAATCACAAGCAAATAGAAAATAACAGTTTGTGCTAAGTTCTCACCAAACAAATCACCCTTCCCAGATACAACTACATTTGTGAGGAATGAGGGTACTTTGAAGAAGCGTTCCACCAAATTTGCCTCAAACTGGAAAACAAGTGGGAACAAAACGTCTACTTTTCCAAGAGATGGATACATGTGACATGGGGCCATCAATATCTACCTTGACTCAGCAGACGTCTGTCTTATGATGGCCCTGCTCTCATACCTGTGATGATGTGCATAAAGCATTAATCCGTGTGGGGGACATTCTGGATGAATGCCTAATACACACGAATAATCAGCTAAATTAGACTACTGGGTAATTTGTACACTTCACCCCACAGTTGGTTTGGAGAATATATATAATGTCTGCCCCTTTTAAGCAACCTTCTTAGCACATGTTTGCATACGAAAAGGGTGTTTGTTCAGCCAGCCCTGTAGGCAAATATGCTTAAAAAATTAACAAAGTAGACAATCTGTCCTTTTGAAAGGGTGAGCAATCATCACTTTGATCTGTCAACCAAACAATTCAATTAGTAGCCACCAAGATGCAAACCACATTACGCAAAATCATCACAAAACAAAACTAAACAACCCTGTATGAGTCTGTGGTGTTCCAAAATTTCAGTACCATTTATGAAAGGCAGGAAATTTATGGTTAATGTTAAGAGAATAATGAGACCGTCAAACTCTGTATCATGTTCTTGGTCATTAATTGTGTTTTCCCCTTTCTCAGGGGTATTCTTCAAAAACAGATCTGGTAACTCAATATTTATTTATGGCAGTGCAGTCCTCTTATATACTGTTCTAGTATATAAATATTAAAATGTATCAGAATAAAATTATTTTCAAATAACCTGTTTTTTCTTCAGTACCTTAAAACAACCTTAACCACATATAAATATGGTTAGTCATTTCTCCTCTTGTTTTACAAGGGGGACTAATTCAAATATGACTTACCAACGTGTTTAAAAACTGGGGCTATGCATAAATAAAACAGCTAATCATTTATCAACCAACATACTTTGAGACTACACCCCAGCACACGGATGCTTAGTTGTCACTTCGACAAAATAGTTATTCTACAGGATTTTATATACATTCACTAACGTAAGATAAGACTCTTAAATGTACAGGATAGTAGGTAACTATCCTACCATGTTATTATATTAAAATATGTTCCCATAAAAGCAAATTTTCCACTTATGGACTGGACCACAGGTGAAGACACTTTGGTCCCATTAGAATCAGTCATCTAAGTGATTCAAGAAAAGACAGGACGTTACGCTATTTGCACACCGAGGTCCGTGTGGACTTGTGCACCCATAGAAGGATATATGCAATGGTGCTCTTAGCTGTGAACTCGTGTTAACTGTGCAGCTTCAGATGACAGAGAATAGCTGGATAACAATACATACACCTTCCAGAAGGCTGGCAGGGGCCGTCCGGGAACCCGTCAAATCCCGAATGAGAAATTCGGTCCAGTCTGTATACTTCTCTTTGATAGCTGGTGAGACAAAGGAGAAACAGACACACACTTTAACAAAGCAGCGGAGCATCCCAGCCTTTCCGTACGTATGAGTTCTGTCGTGACGTTTCTTCACTTTAGATACCATGCTTAAAGGAAGAACTAAAATGGCGCAACAGACCTGCCGGCAATGGGGCATGTCTCATTGAACACGTGCCTAGGTTTTGCTGGGCATCAGAAAGGTGAAAGAACATGAGATTCTGAGGTCTGATTGTCTGTTTCGAAACTTCTGTAAAGAACCAAGGAGATATTTCAAAGCACAGAATTTAGGAGGCTCCAAGAAGAAAGAGGGAACGGAAGAATCAGAGAACGTTTTCCAGGTGGAAAATAAAGCCAGGCTCTGAATTGTAATAAAGATGTATGACTCACAGAGAGAAGACAAAGGAGGGATTTTCAGGCTGAGAAGAACAGCATCTGCTAATGAGAGCAATGAAGGGAGGGAGGAGATGGAGAAAGAATGTCTGTCCCTCAGCAACACACGCTCTGGCTGGAGCACAGAATGTAATGCTAAGTGGCAGGAACAAAACTGCAGACAGCCCAAAAAGCCAGCACCCACGTTTAATAAACAGGAAATCTCTATGTGGAATCTAAATTTTAAAAATGATTTAAATGAACTTATTTACAAAATGGGGAACATGCTCACCAATGTCCAAAACTGAGTTACCAAAGGGGAAACGTGGCAGGGGGTATAAATTAGACTTTGAGATGAAACACACACACACTATTATTAATATATATAAACCAACAAGGACCTACTATATAGCACAGGGAACTCTACTCAATATTCTATAATAACCTATATGAGAAAAGAATCTGAAAAAGAATGGATATATGTATACACATAACTGAATAACTCTGCGGTACATCTGAAACTAGTACGCCATTGTAAATCAACTATTTTGTTGTTCAATGGCTAAGTCATGCCCAACTCTTTACAACCTCATGGACTGAAGCATGCCAGGCTTCTTCCCTGACCTTCACAATCTCCCAGTTTCTCAAATTCATGTCCACTGAGTCGGTGATGCCATCCAACCACCTCATCCTCTGCTGCCCCTTTCTCCTTCTGCCTTCAATCTTCTCCAACATCAGGATCTTTTCCATTGAGTCAGTTCTCCACATCAAGTGACCAAAGTTTTGCAGCTTCAGCATCAACTACATGCCAATAAAAACGTTTTTAAACCAGGAAACCTCTGCATAAAATGAATCTGAAAGCAGCATAAAGGCTTGAAGGGAAACAAAGGAAGCCAATGGCAGAGAAGTCAGACTAGAGACTGCTGTTCTCTTAGTGCAAACGTGATAGGGCCCCAAACAGCACAGAGGGGCGCTGCATTTAAGACACCTTTCCAAAAAGGTGGGCTTCCGGGGTAGCCCAGATGGTCAAGAATCTGTCTGCAGTGCAGGAGACCCAGGTTTGATCCCCGGGTCGGGAAGATCCCCTGGAGGACAGCACGGCAACCCACTCCAGTATTCTTGCCTGGAAAATCCCATGGACAGAGAAGTCTGGCCAGCTAGAGTCCATGGGGTCACAAACAGTTGGACACAACTGAACAACAAACACTTTCACTTTTCCAAAAAGAGAAACACCACCCTTTGGAAGCCAGCATTCTACAAGCTCTTGGAACCAAATACTTGAGAAAAATATAACCTCTTGGCTCAACTGTCAGTGTACAGACATCCCAAGGATAAAGTCAAATCCACACCCCGGAGAGACCCCCAAGCCTTCTCAGTGCATCATGGGACTCATAAACTCAGCCACAGCACAGCAGGACACTGGCCCAGACTCCCACCCACCCACTGAGAGTCTGACCTTCACATCTCATGTGGAGATGAGTGACCTTCACATCTCCAGTGGACCCAGGAGCACTGCTCAGGATACTACATTCAATACTTGGCCTCTGTTGTGTGTGTTAAGTCTCTAGGTCACATCCAATTCTTTGGGGACAAGAATCTGCCTGCAATGCAGGAGACCTAAGGGACACAGGTTCGATCCCTGGGTCAGGAAGATCCCCTGGAGGAGGAAATGGAAACCCACTCCAGTATTCTTGCCTGGAGAATCCCATGGACAGAGGAGCCTGGCGGGCTACAGTCCATGGGGTCACAGAGAGTCAGACACAACTGAAGCGACTCAGCACATATAGGATCTTTCAGGGCTTCCCTGGTGGATCATATGGTAAACAATCTGCCTGCAATGCAGATCTGGGTTCTATCCCGAGGTTGGGAAGATACCCGGGAGAAGGGAATGGCAACCCAATCCAGTATTCTTGCCTGGAAAATCGCACGGACAGAGAAGCCTGGCAGGCTGCAGTCCATGGGGTTGCAAAGAGTTGGACATGGCTGAGCAACCGCCACTCCACACTAGGTTCTTTCAAAGCAAGATGCAGCTATTTAGCTGAAACCTAAAGGAAAAGAGTTATTACTAGGCATATGAGTGGTGGGAAAGCTCATGGTGTGGGGAAGACCTGGGCTCTGAGCTGGGCTCTACCATCACTGGCTACATGACTGTAATTCACCCAATTTCTCTTGTATTCTTTCCTCTGATGCTACAACATGTTGCTTGTGTGGTGCTATAAGGATTAAAGAAGATATACCTGCTGGTAAAATACAACTGTATCTGGCACATTTATGCAATTAACAGCCTCTCTAGTTCTGTTACAAGTGCATATTAAATTATTACACATTCTCACCTAATATTTATTACTGAGTCCCACAAATGCCAGATTGAAACTTTCAACATGCTTTGGCAGAACTGCCAACAGAACAGGGACCAGGGACTGTACCACCTGCAGCAACCTACTATTTCAATTACTAACCTGCAACTCAATCAATAGCGCCAACTGTTGCCCATTAATAAAGATAAGATCAAGAGAAAGGTCAAAATCCAAGGGACTCAGGCAAAAGTCAAGGGATTTGGGCAAAGCAGGAAAGTCCAGCTATGGGTTAGACAATGTCCTAACCCTGGACACAGAGCTACCACAGAGCAACCCACCGCTTCATCACCTTTTACCTTAAGGGTGTTTTCCTCAAATAAAATACCATCTTCTACATACATACCTATAAGGAGATGCATATATTTGAGGCAGAAAATGTGTTATTGGGTTCTTTTCCATCACCAGCAAGTGTAGCCATCATTTTTAAATGCTATACCCATTTCTAAATCAGCCCTTGCTATGGACTGAATGTTTGTGTTGCCCCCAAAATCCATTTTTTCAAAACATGTATCATTCTTTTTTGCAATTTTTTTTTTTGGCCACATCCCATGGCATGTGGGATCTTAGTTCCCTGACCAGGTATCAAACCCGCACACCCCTGCATTGGAAGAGAAGTCTTAACCACTGGACCATCAGGGAAGACCCCAAAATTCACTTGTTGAATCCTCATGTCCCATGTGATATTGCATTTAGGAGGTGGGAGCTTGGGGACATTAGAATTAATGAGGTCATGAGATTAGAGCCTTTACAAATGGGATTAGTAAACTCATAAAAGAGACTCCAGAGAGCTTCCTCACCTCTTCCTCCTCACACTTGTGAGGATAAGGTGAGATGTCTGTGAATCTGTAGGGTGGTCCTCACCAGACACAGGGTCTGGCTGTACCTTGATCTTAGGCGTGGATCCAGTCTCTAGAACTGTGATAAATAAACTTGCATCCGGTCTGTGGTATTTTTGGTACAGCAGTCTGAGTAGACTAAGACATCTCTCCTGCATGCCTAAGGCGGCGGCGAAGACCAGAAGCAACAGAAAGTCAAAGTGTTAGTCAGTCAGTTGTGTCTGACTCTTTGTGACCAGTCATGAACAGATGTAACAGCTGGACGGTGAGGAAGGCTGAGCGCTGAAGAGTTGATGCTTTTTAACTGTGGTGCTGGAAAAGACTTGAGAGTCCCTTGGAATGCAAGGAGATCAAACCAGTCCATCCTAAAGGAAATCAACCCTGAATATTCATTGGAAGGACTGATGCTGAAGCTGAAGCTCCAACACTGGCCACTTGATGAGCAAAGCCAACTCACTGGAAAAGACCTTGATGCTGGGAAAGATAGAAGGCAGGAGAAGAAGGGGACGAGAGAGAACGAGATGCTCAGATGGCATCACCGACTCCATGGATATGAGTTTGAGAAAGCTCTGGGAGATGGTGGAGGACAGGGAAGCCCGGTGTGCTGCAGTCCATGGGATCACAAAGAGTCAGACACAACTGAATGACTGAACAAGAACGACAAGAAGTACTGCCATATATACAAACTGCTGCTGCTGGTGAGTCGATAAGTCGTGTCTGACTTCTGTGACCCCATGGACTGTAGTCCACCAGGCTCCTCTTTTCATGGGATTCTCCAGGCAAGAATACTAGAGTGCGTTGCCATTTCCTTTTCAAGGTGATCTTCCCAAGCCTGGGATTGAATCCATGTCTACCACATTAGCAGGCAGATTCATTACCTCTAGTGCCACCTGGGAAGCCCCTTTAGCACAAAGTTTAGTTTATTAAAGAAATGAGGCAATGGAGAATCTTGAATTATAAATGGAAGCACCTACACACACTATTAAGAATAAAAGACTATAGAGTTCTCTCCCTTGGAGGTTTTTTTTTGTTGTTGTTGTTGTTTTTCCCTTGGAGATTTTTAAAGGAAAGAAATCTGTATTAATATTTCACAGAGGGTCCAAATTAAATTGTTCCTACAATCAAAAGAACAGATCATAAAATGATTCAACAGGGTTAATATGTTCCTTCTATGTGCCGTGGACCACATTACATACTGCTAGGGCTCAAATGTATAGATAACAGTATTTCTGCCTAAAAACAGCTTAGATGAAGATATAGCTTGTAAAGAATGTCATAAAAGTCACACACACACACATATGCCTTAGAACTTTAAATATACAGAACGGAGGAAAAGTTTCAATTCAAACTTTCAGAACTCTTTCCATTGCATAAATATACTTGAATAATCACAAATAAAACACCCAAGAGGGTCACTGCTGGGTGGTAAGGGAGT